GAAATCCTGGAGAGAGAGCCTGCCAGTCTGTGTCTGCAATGCTGATCTAGATGTGCTTCCTTTGCTCTGTTCTTTCAGCAGGAGAGGCTAAAAGACAACCACCTGGCTCCATCCCTGCCCCTTCGATAGCAGCCTGATCCACACACAAAGTCGGTCTTTTATTTTTCTTAGCTTCAAAGCAAGCTGGTGCGGAAGGCTTTATTCGCTTAATGTCTACCTGTTGAGCACCTGTTAAAAGTCGCACAGGTGTAGGCTGCATATAAAGGAATCTGGACCCGAATTCTGCATGAGACATGCTTTGTGGACTGGCATTGGACAAAATGGAATATGGGGTTCCTTCCAAGCCACATGATCCTATAGATCTTTGAACAATGTGCTGCGTGTGTGTGTGTGTGTGTGTGTGTGTGTCTGTGTCTGTGTCTGTGTCTGTGTCTGTGTGTGCGCGCGCGTGCACGCCACAAACGCTCTCCATGGCAACCAAAGGGAAGCCAAGAAGAATGGGTTTAAATTGCAACAAGGTAGACGTTAAGTTATGTTCTTTCTTCCGAGAGCCCTCGAGGGAGACGGTGGTGCCTCCGTTACGAGGAGGTTTAATAAAAACAGGCTGGTTGGAAACTTGCCGCTGAAATAAAGCACCTATTGTCTTGTGAAAGTTAGGCCTGTATTTTAAGAGTGGGACTAAAGTGGAGGTAGACGAGGGGTGGCTGCGATGTCACGTCTGCACAGAGTCACAGAGTTGGAAGGGACCCCAAGAAGTCATCTAGTCCAGCCCCCTGAAATGCTGGAATTTCAGCAAAAGCATCTCTGACAGAAGACCATCCACCCTCTGTTTAAAAAAACCCAAGGAAGGAGAGCCCACCGCCTCCCAAGGGAGACCGTTCCACTTTTGAACAGCTCTTACTGCCAGAAAGTTGTTCCTGATGTTTACAGTGGTACCTCCGGTTACAGACGCTTCAGGTTACAGACACTTCAGGCTACAGACTCCGCTAACCCAGAAATAGTACCTCGGGTTAAGAACTTTGCTTCAGGATGAGAACAGAAATCGCACAGTGGCAGCGGGAGGCCCCATTAGCTAAAGTGGTACCTCAGGTTAAGAACAGTTTCAGGTTAAGAACGGACCTCCGGAATGAATTAAGTTCTTAACCCGAGGTACCACTGTAGTAGGAATCTCCTTTCTTGCAGCTTGGAGCCATTGGTCTGACTAAACATCAGGAAAAGCCTTCTGACAGTTAAGAGCTGTTCAAAAGTGGTGGGCTCTGTTTCACTAGAGGTTTTTAAATGGAGGTTGGAAGGTCAGGAGTTGTTTAAATGCAATTCCCGTACAACTCTACGATTCTATGAGTACACCAGGAACCTCCCTGTGGAGCTACCATCCCAAGCGCGCCCGTGTTTCCCTGCAGAAACAGAGTCATGCTTGCAGCGCCCCTGTTCCCAGGTCAATGCTGACAGCTCCCTCCCAAGCCATCACCAAAGGCTCTCCTCTTCTCGATTTACGGGAGTCATTGCCTCTGATAATAGCCTGTCTTCCACCAATTCAAAAGACAAGGTAGCTAAAGATGCAGCAGGAAAACATCGCTGCCTGACAATAGGCAGCCACTATTGGCAGTGTCAGTGCTAATAATAATAATAATAATAATAATAATAATAATAATAATAATTTATTTATTTATACCCCACCCATCTGGCTGGGTTTCCCCAGCCACTCTGGGTCGCTTCCAACAGAATATTAAAATCCAATAGTCTATTAAACATCAAAAGCTTCCGTAAACAGGGCTGCCTTCAGATGTCTTCTAAAAGTCTGGTAGTCGTTATTCTCTTTGACATCTGGTGGGAGGGCGTTCCACAGGGTGGGTGCCACCACCGAGAAGGCCCTCTGCCTGGTTCCCTGTAACTTGGCTTCTCGCAGGGAGGAAACCACCAGAAGGCTCTCAGAGCTGGACCTCAGTGTCCGGGCAGAACGATGGGGGTGGAGACGCTCCTTCAGGTCTACTGGGCCTTTGAGGCCATTTAGGGCTTTCAAGGTCAACACCAACACTTTGAATTGTGCTCAGAAACGTCCTGGGAGTCAAGACCACAGCAATATATATATAGTTGTATTATCAGCAGGCTGGATTATCAGAGCCAGCATAGTGTTGCGGTTAGAGTGTCAGACTAGGACCTGGGAGAGACTAGGGTTCAAATCCCTGCTCAGCTATGAAGCTCCCTGGGTGGCTTGGGCCAGTCATTTCCCCTCAACCTAGCCTGCTTCACAGGGTTGTTGTGGGGAACAGCGTATGCCCCCTGGAGCTCTTTGAAGAAAGTGGGATATAAATGAAATTGTGTGTTTGAGCACCTTAAGCCCTTAAGCTCCTGGGGGGGGAATTGGGAGTGTAAATGAAACCCCCATGCATTGCGGGGGGTTGGACTAGATGACTCTTTGGGTCCCAGCATGGTGTAGTAGTTAAGAGCGGTAGTCTCGTAATCTGGTGAACTGGGTTCGCATCTCTGCTCCTCCACATGCAGCTGCTGGGTAACCTTGGGCTAGTCACACTTTTCTGAAGTCTCTCAGCCTCACTCACCTCACAGAGTGTTTGTTGTGGGGGAGGAAGGGAAAGGAGAATGTGAGCCGCTTTGAGACTCCTTTGGGTAGTGATAAAACGGGATAACAAGTCCAAACTCCTCTTCTTCTTCCCTGAAATATACTTGAGTCAAGATTGGATTTTATGCTCTTTATTCAGCTCATAGTGGTGAGGAGGAATGGAAGCTCCCCCAGAATGTCCGCTTTATATACATTATTTACACAATGGGCCCCACTGATTGGCTAATTCCAGGATTCACCTGTAGGCCAATCAGGTTGCGGATTCACTTCCACCTGGAGCTAGATTGAGTAGTTCCTGTGGACCAATCAGACTGCTGCATTCTGGACCCTATTGTTCTAGGACCAGTCAGACCGCTGCATTCTAAATCCTATTGTTCTAGGAGCAATCAGACTGCTGCATTCTGAATCCTATTCAACTCAGTACATAACATTCCTGATCTACAGTTCTATGAGCATGAACTCTACAAGACAACGACAAGATCCACCACCAGCATACGAATCAATACGGCTGATTCAAACACACACACACACCCGACTCACACACGAAAACAAAGTTCACCACAGCCAATCGCAAACAAGCAACGGCACCCTAGGCCAACCCCAATTTCTCTCGCCACCAAGGGGACACAAGCGAATATCAAAGAGAACCCGCACAAACGACACTGACACCAAACCCCACACATACCTTAAGCAAATTAGAAACATTGCCTCCCGACCCCGACCCCACTCACCTTTCCCCCCTCCACCTCTTCCCCCCCTCCTTTTCTTCCTAATGTAACCCTAATGTCTCAACAAATGAAACTGACCTATGGAAAATGTAACTTGAAAAAAGAGACATAGCGCATACCTTTGTAAACCAAGAAAACTTTAATAAAAATATTTTTAAAAATAAAGAAAGAAGTGAGGCATGTTGTTTAACTTCTAGGAATCCAGGGGGGAAGGAATTGGACCCTGAGAGATACCAAGTCACTCACAAGGCTGTTAGAATTCCTGCTCCATGATTGCAGTCATGGGATTGTTGTCTGTCACATGAGGGTGTATGTTTTGACTTCACAGAGTGGGATGTGACAAAGACAGGATATTTGTGTTACTGTGTTCCGTAAAGTGGGACTATTGTCCTTTGTTCTTTTTCTCTTTGCTGTCTGATGCTAGAGAGAGAGGGAGCCATGTTGCAGTGCTCCGTGTGTGTTTATATATAAATAAAGTAGATTAGCCCAAATGCTGAGTTGCTGAGGTCTGTCGCACAAAATGTGCAAACTCTGCGGATCCCTAAATGTGCCAGTGTTGGTTGGCATCGGTCGCTGTGATGTTTGGGCAGAAGAAAGCTTTTGAAGCTCCCAAACAATTGACCAGGAGGGAGAGACACATGCCAGTCAGGCATGTGTCTCTCCCAGGGTCCTACTCGAGTGTAGGCTGAACTCCTGACAAAGGCATCACATTTTTTAACAAGGCCAAAACAGGGACAGCATTTCACGTGGCACAGCAGGTAAGAGATCACACAGGAAACTGGGGGAATGGGAACCGGTGGAATGTGTTAGGGCTAGCCCAAAGTGGGGTGGGTGGGCTTGCGCAAGAAGGTCTCAGCAGAGCCCCCTCCCAGATTTAAGCCCAGCAGTGTGAAGCAGCAGGGGGGAAAGCTGGCGCAATCCTAGGTTGCATCGACAGCGGTCAAGTGTGCATCTCAAAAGTGCTGGTCTTGCTACTACACATCTAAAAATGTCTGTAGGCAGAGGCAGCCTCTGAAGCCAGCTGACATGAACGCCACAATTGTAACCCGTGCCTGGCATTCGGTGGTGGAATGACGACCATGGCATCAGAGGCCGGGAAGGGCAGCCCATTGCAAATAATAAACCCCATTGTTTCCCCCTCCTGTTTCATGAAGAGAGCTCCATTGCGGAGGCTGCCGTGCATTTCTCGCAGCGGAAATGCATGCTCAGAGGCCTCACGGAAATATCCCTATCCCATCGTGTTTTGGAAATCCAAGCATAGGTCTTTTCTGCAAAGGACGGGGGGCTACCGTCCCCCAACGCCGCATGCTGTGGCTCCGCTCTTTCTGCGGCCTCTGCGCCATCCGGAAGAGGCAGCGTTGTGCATTTGCTTAGATGCCAGAGCCATAAAACACTTGGATAACCAGATAATCAGGGAGGAAAATGTCCCCCACGGAGGGACAAAACTGCAGGGTTAGCTAAGAGGCAGTGATTGAGGGCTGAATCACAGACTGACAGTGAAGCAGAGGGAAACAGCAGGAGCCAAGGCTATGGGTCTCCTTTTTACTCTTCCCACCCTCACGCACAGCACAATGCAAATCTCCAGCTGAAAAGGCACACAGAATCATAGAATTGTAGAGTTGGGAGGGACCCGAGGGTCATCTAGTCCAACCCCCTGCAATGGAGGGATCTCAACTAAAGCATGCATGACAGATGGCCACCCAACTTCTGCTTAAAATCCTCCAAGGAAGGAGAGCCCACCACCTTGTGGACTCTCCTTCCTTGGAGGTTTTTAAGCAGAGGTTGGATGGATCCTTTAGTTGAGATTCCGGCATTGCAGCGGGTTGGACTAGATGACCCTCGGGTCCCTTCCAACTCGATGATTCTGTGAATTTAATCCTCTTTTGAATCCATTCATGTTGGTGGCCATCACTGCCTCCTGTTGGAGGGAGTTCCATAGTGTATCTACGTATTGTGTGAAGAATCACCTCTTTCTATCTTTCCCGAATCGTCCAGCATTCATCATCATTGGATGCCCATGAATTCTAGTGTTAGGAGATGATAGATAGATAGATAGATAGATAGATAGATAGATATAGATAGATGTTTCTCTATTCACTTTCTCCATGCCATGTATAATTTTATACATTTCTTTTGTGTCACCTGTTACTGTGGTACCTTGGTTTTCGAACAGCTTAGTTCACAAATAACTTGGAACCAGAATGCTGCAAAACCGGAAGTAAGTGTGTCGGTTTTTTGAACTTTTTTTGGAAGCCTAATGTGCCCCATTTTTCGTCCCCCTGTGCTTCCTGTTGCGCTGCTAATTTGCGTCCCACCCATTGTAATTCAAGCCTTCCGTTTCCAATTGCAGTCTTCTGAGGTGACATTTGGTGCTTTTGTTTTTGCTATTTATTCTGCATTTTTTAGTTTCAAGGCTTTTTCCAGTTCATTTGTTTTTGTGGCTGTGCGGATCCCAGTGCAGCTACTGATTGATTGATTGATTGATTGATTGATTGTGTGTCTGCAGAAATGGATAAAAGCCTGCCATCCAAACAATAACTATCTTCAGTGCAGGTAAAAAATGTAATTTTAATTTTTATCATCTACTGTCTTATTTATTTCATAGTACAGTACATTGTTTATTGCTTTCATTTTATGGATCAATGGTCTTGTTAGATAGTAAAATTCATGTTAAATTGCTGTTTTAGGGGTTGTTTTTAAAAGTCTGGAACGGATTAACCCGTTTTGCATTTTGGGAAAGTGTGCCTTGAGTCTGGAACACTTTGATTTTTGGAACAGACTTCCGGAACGGATTAAGTTTGAGAACCAAGGTACCACTGTACTTGCCTTTTCTCTAAACTAAAAAATTCTAAACATTTCCTTTTTCTTCTAGGGTTCTTTATTTGGGCTTAGACCATGTTCCTCTTTGGACATTTGGCTTTTTAAAAAATCTTTTGTCAGTCCTCTGTACTCTTTTCACAGACCGAAATCACCCTGAGGCCTGTGGGAGACGTTTTGGCCTCCCTCCGCACCCAGGCGGCTTTGCAATGTCACAGGCAGAGCAGGCACAAAAGGATCCCTTTTCCCTCTTTTTCTATTCTAGGAAAACCCCTCTGAGTTTTTTGACACGCTGTCAGTCACGGCCTGTGAACCAAGTATGGGACAGTAACTGTCCTCCCCCCCCCAAAAAAAAACCCCACCCTTGAAAGCTTGGAGGAGTTGCATTTCCATCACTTACGTTCTGGTGAATTTGCAGTTTCCTACGTAAGCAAGGCAGTCAAGCCTTAAACTAGCTCTGGGTATGGCCCAATAAGGCAATTATTCACTCTGGGGTCTCTGTTGTCTTGCAACTCATTTATTAAGCATAATTGCTCTGATAAGATGTGCCTCCATACTGCATAAATACATGATAAGCTGCCTTGATATTATGTTCCTTTTATCACACCATGTCAACCGATATTTCAACATCCCATCCCACAGATGTTCCTCTCTCTCTCTCTCTCTCTCTCTCTCTCTCTCTCTTCTCTTTCTCTCTTTCTCTCTTTCTCTCTCTCTCACATCCCGTCAGTCAAGCAGAGAGAGAGGAAGAAATGAAGGGATTGTCAGAATATCAAGGATGTGTCTATATCAATAGAAGGAAGCATCTTCAAAGCAGACTTCTGTGAGGCTATGGGTGAACTCATGGGCCCCTCATGAAGCTGAATGCTGGGAAATTCAGGACAGATAAAGAAACTGCACGGTTAGACTATGGAACTCCCTCCCACACGAGGCTGTGAGGGACACCAATTTATATGGCTTAAAAGAGGATGGGTTCAAAACCGGTTCAAACATATGTTAGAAATGTAAGGAAAAAGAAGGGACTTTTTATCATATGTGGTGTGACTGCAGTGAAATTAAAAAATTCTGGGAAATGATATACAATGAATTGAAGAAAATGTTCCAATTAACATTTGTAAAAAAGTCTGAAGCATTTTTGTTAGGGATTGTAGGAAAAGACCTGCCAAGGAAATTGAAGAACATACGGTATTCATGTATGCGACAACGGCGGCAAGTCTTAATAGCAGATGGATGGAAGAATGAGGAAATCCTGACAAAAGAACTGTGGCAAGGGAAACTGACTAGCTATGTGGAACTGGAGAAACTGACGCACAAACTGCGTGATAAGGACAACTGTGACTTTAAAGAAGAATGGGAACCTTTTACAAAGTAGCTAAAGAAACAACAAAATGAACTGGCCTCTGTGGCAGGTTTTGAATAAACAATCACAAATTTATTATTAGCAACATACAGACAGATAATTTAAGGATTTTTACAATTTTATAATATGCAGAGAACAACATGTTGAAAAACCAGAGAGAGGAGCTGAGGGAAGTCCGGGTGGGGGCGGGAGGGTGGGCTTCTCTTGGGGAGGGAAAATTAGGGGGGGAATGAGGATGATATGTTTTTGATAAATTGTTATGCTGAAATTCCTGATAAAAATTATTTTAAAAAAAAAAAATGGGATAAATTCATGGAGGAGGAAGGGGCTATTGATGACAATGCTCTGCCCGCCACAGTTTGCTTCTGAATCTCAGTTGCTGGAAACCACAGGAGAGTAGAGATGCCCTTGTGCTCAAATCCTGCTTGAGGGGTTTGCAACAGACATCTGATTGGACACTGTGAGAAGAGGATGGTGGACTAAATGATTCACCAGCCTGATCCGGAAGCCTCTTATGTTCTTACAGATGATGAAGAGATCAAGGGAGCCTGGATAGCTCCGTTGGTTAGAGTACAGTGTTGATAATACCAAGGTTGCAGGTTCGATCCTTGCATATTCCTGCATTGCAGAGGGTTGGACTAGATGATCCTTAGGTTCTTTTCCAACTTTATGATTCCAAGTGGTGAATGTGGCCAAGCCTTATTGCATGATACAGATCCTAACCTTCACCACGCATTAGAATTTATTGCAAAAAAATAATAATTAAACAAATGACACCACATTTTCATTAATGGAGATGACCAAGCAAAACCATTGTCCAAAACTTTACTCCTGGGTAAATCGGGCATCTGTACTGCCTGGGTCTGCAACAACCTCAAGGCTAATGGAGAACATCGTACCCTACTTTTTCAGGTTAAGTGTCCTTTTCTCTGTTGGTAGATAGGAGTCCACATGGGCCCACAGAAAATTATGTTGCAGTGGTGTCAGAATAGGACCTGGGAGAACAGGGTTCAGATTCCCTCTTGGCCATAAAACTCACTGGGTCAACTTGGACCAGTGGCTGCCTTTCAGCCTGGCCTACCACACAGGATTGCTGTGATGATGAAATGGGAGCTACGACCATGGGAGGCCAAGGTTCTAATTCTCATTTGGTGATGAAGCTCACTGGGTGGAGCTGGAGGGGCAGCCTTGGCCATACAGCCTGACCTACCTCACAGGGATGTTGTGAAGAGACCCATGTGACCCACCCTAAGTTCCTTGGAGGAAAAGGTGGGATAATAATAATAAATTTTATTTATACCCCACCGTCCCCAGCCAAGACTGGGCTCAGGGCAGCTAACACCAGGTATAAAAACAATTGATTAAAATACAACTTAAAAACAAAATTAAGTACAACCTTAAAATGCAGCCTCATTTCAGTAGAAACTCAAATCAAAAACTTTTTGGGGATGAAAACGTCAAATCTTCACCAAAGCCAACTATCCAGACTGGTCCTACATGGGCCAGAAAAAAGCCAGGGAAGTCCCCAAATAGGAGTTCCATCACAGAAGGAGAAAGGAAAGAGGGGGAGGGGATCAAGTTGATTCCAAGCCAAAGGCCAGGCGGAACAACTCTGTCTTACAGGCCCTGCGGAAAGAAATCAGATCCCGCAGGGCCCTGGTCTCATCAGACAGCGTGTTCCACCAAGTTGGGGCCAGTACTGAAAAGGCCCTGGCTCTGGTTGAGGCTAATCTGACTTCCTTAGGGACCTCTAGGGTGTTGCTATTTATGGACCTTAAGGTCCTCCGTGGGGCAGACCGAGAGAGGCAGTCCCGTAGGTACGAGGGTCCTAGCCCATGATAAATATAGAAACGTGATAAGTAAATAAATATACAGAAAGAAAAGGAGAGGAAAGAAAGAAAGAGTTTACTAAGGGGGGACAAAGGGCCAGTCAATGGAAGGCGGAGGAGCAATTGCTGGATGTCCCTGCAATGACCATGCAATGAGTGCAGAGGAAGACACGATCCAACTCACGCAGTGTGACCTACTTCCATCCAGCAGCCGCTGGGGGTAAATAAGCAGATCAAGACTCAGAGCACAAAACACCTCGGGCTGGATATTTAATATTGCGAGGCTGCTGGCTGCAAGAGCCGGGGAGACACCCTGCTTCAGCAGCCAGCATATGATCTTTGAAAATGGTTCCAGTGGGTTCTCATTTGCAAGGCAGGGAGACTAGCGGCATCGTGCGAAAGAGACACCGAAAGAGTTGCACCGATGGCCTCAAGGCTTGTGCACAGAAAGTGAGCAAGGCACTCCAACATTTGGAGGGAACAGAGGGGAGCCTAGAGAGATGGACCCTCTCCTCCTGGGACTAAAACCTCGCCCTGCCCCACAGTTTAAGGAGGGTGTGGACAAGCTAGAAAGTGTGCAGAGGCAGGTGGTCAAGATGATAAAAGGTCTGGAAACCAAGCCCTATGAGGAACGGTTGAAGAGGTTGGGGATGTTTAGCCCAGAAAAGAGCAGATTTAAGGAGGCGACCTGAGAGCCATCTATGCCTCTCCTCGTCTGTATGTTTTGTGTGTGAGAGAGTTTAGTCATGGTTAGAATAAATTAGCTAATTCTCTCGAACCAAAGAAATGTAGA